TTCCGATCAAAATATACATAGATCTAATATTATACCGTATTAATTTCTATACACTCTGAAATTGATAATTTTTTCAATATCTATTTGGAATTGACATAATTTTCATGAATAAACAGTAATAGGAAATATATTATTATTTATATGTTGGTTTATTTTTATAATATGTAAAATCATCAATAATTTAGTATTATTAAATGAAGGCTGAGTAATAATTATATTTATATTCATTCATCATTCATCAGAATATAATTAATTTCAATTTAATTAGGTATATTTAAATATAATTTTGTACTTAAAATCAAATTTTATTTCTAAGACATTTTCTATGACAATTAAAAAATTAATGATCGAATATAATAATAAAATTTTTATAAATTTTAAAAGTGTTTAGGAAATTTAATAGATTTTTAATGAGAAAATAATTGCATTCGATTATGGTCATGATATTATGGTCAGTGATATAATACTTTTTAGGTACCTTCATTATTGTACATATTGAAACTGATAAGTCAAAACCGAGATAAGTGTCAATATCACGCAGATACCAGTATATATTATATACTATGACCGACACACTTAGTATACTAAACTAGTTAGTATTCAAGCTTTTATCTTATTAATACATTATTTTTAAATAAGTTATCACTTAAAAAAATTATTTATTTATTTAATTATTCTTCATCCTTAATTATTCATAATTAACCGATTTTAATATTTTATTGTAATTGCTGTTAATATTTCATTTAAACTTGGTAATATATTGATATTTAATAATAATTTAAAAAATTTTTATAAAGAAAAGCTTATAAAGATAATTAATTATAATTTCTTAATATACGAATTAAAATTTTTGTTGGTATATAAGTAGTAAGTAAATAAGTACTCATAAACATACGTACGGGAATTATTGTATCCATTTTTAATATGCCAATGTAATATGTACTAGGCAACCTTCGGAGATGTAAAATAAAAACAAAACTAACCTAACCAATGCCTAAATATGAATTGGAGTGTGTACGGCAGCTTTATTCGAACACTCGTGGTAGAAATAGTTACATGTGCGATTAACAAGTAACGTATGACATGGGAGGAATACTCAAAATGCATATACTCGAGCAATCACACACGATTACGAATAAAAATGCGTACATGCACGAGACCATAGAAATAATTTAAGTTTTGTAATTTAAGTTTAATATTTGGTGCAACATTTTATTATATCTTGATAACATTTTAAATCAAGCATGTACTTTGTCTATTAGCTTATTAATGCAAATAAAAAAAATGCAAAAAAAAAAAAAACCGACACATCGGCAGTCGCAAGATAGCAGCAGGGCACAGAGTAACTTATTTAAGAAGTGCGATATAATAAGTCATACATACGCACACACTATAAAGTCTCATTGTACGCAAGTGTACAGGCGAATTGCTAAGTTCACGAATAAATAGAGAACGCCAGGGCCGAGACACTTAATACTGCGCTTAAACATAATTATTACCGATGGGACGAACTAATGGAATAATGATAATTGTGTTATGTTTGATGGGATTTGATCAGTTATTGGCAGCTGATTAATATAGCGAAACACGAAAGATACACATGCATGGTGTATTATGTCAATGCAAGTATCGAGCCATCCATCCTCATCGGTAATCAATGATATATTTATAAAGAAAATCTAAAGTCTTAGAAGTTCGGTTGAACGATTTAATGCAGACAGATAATAATTGCAAGTTACTAATAAATAGTTGATAGGTATACTTAAGCTGATTAACATACGAATAAATATATCATATACCATTTTTTAATTTTTTTTTTTTTTATAATTTATGTTCTATTTTTGTGTACATTGAAGTTTCAAACATTATGGGATAAGTGTTTGATGATGCAACAGCGAATAAAATCACAAGCTTACGGATGTTACCTATGCGCCTTTAATCGAAAAGACAATATTTATTTTTTAATATTGTAAATACAATATGTTGTAATTATATGTTACATTTTTAAAGAAAAATTTTATCATAGTGAAAATGAGAGTGTAAAGTATTATAAAAGATTATAAAACTCAGAATCTGTAGTGTATATACAGAACGAAGGTATGAACATAACCTATAAATTATTTCGAGTGCGTTATACATGTAATACAGTATACACAGTTATACATGTAACTGGCTACTAGATTTTCATACATAAGCTTTATGTTCATATGCCGGTCGGCGATCTTATAAGAATTTAACATCATCGTTTACAAGATCTAAATTTTTACGTATAATTTTAGAACGACTGATTAAATATGAGCAATAAATGCTTTTGTATGCATTGTTCATAGATTGCAACTATAGTAAATTACTGTAGTTTTAATTTAAACTGACATTTAATCTTACCATTTTCGATTACCTTATTATCAATTATTTCATGAATGGTTGTATTATACGAAATGCTTATTCATATTGACTTTTGATGAATTAACAGTTTTAATGTTTAATAATCTAATCTAATTTTTGGAAATCAAATAATTTCATTTTATTTAATGTTAGTATCAATTGTAGTTACTTTTTTGGATTATACTGTTTTTCATATTATGCCTTTTACATTTTTGTGGAATATTACCTTAGATAAAAACAGTAAAATGTTATTTGTGGTGAATATCAGTAAAGTAATAATAATAATACTATCAATAAAATAATAGGAATAAGTTGCTTAATGTTAAGAATAGTCAAAATATTTTATGTAAAAAATGATTTTTAATTTTGATGATATTTTAAGTATTACAATTATTAGATTAATGAATGAATAATTTTCATATTGAAACATAATTTATAATCATTTTTCTTTCATATAATGAATTCATATTTTATTTTATTTTTAAATTTTTTCTAATTTAATAATTCATTGTATCAGTATTTTGAACTATTTAATCTTAGTCGAATAATTATGATTTAATAAATAAAATTGATTAATTCTTACATATAATAATTCAGGTTTAAATAATTATTTTATTTAAAGTTTTAAAGGTTACTTTTGCAAAATATTGATTAAGTAAATATTTTATTTTGAAAATCATATAATTAATGAAGAATTTTTTAATAAAATTTAATAATAATTAATGTTTAATTAATAACATGTAGAAAATTTGATTTTAAAAATAAATGTATAATTTTTGAAAGAACATTTTGTTATATTTAAGTTTTAAGTATATAAATTTGCGTCATACAGGTTTAATAATTTCTTATTTTTCATACATCAATTATGAATATATGAATATAAATATGAACTTATATTAATATAAATGAATATGAATTTACTTCAATCAGTAAATTTCTAATAAATAATGCAGCATACTATCAAATTTATTAAGTGTTTGAAAATTAAGTTTGATTGAATATATTTTTAGTTTATATTACATAATTATCTATTATAATCTACCGCAATTGAAATATGTAAAAAAAGAAATACTAAAAGAAAATTAATAAAAATTCATTTTTGTTTATGTTTTTAAGATAGATGAAGAAATGTTAACATAACGATATCGAAGTGCGATGTCACGCAGCCTCCCAGAGAGAGTGGCTGGGCTTTATTATGCCCATGGCCTGTGTTGCTCTTCACATCCTATTACTGTTATTTCTTTAGCAGTTTCTATTATTTTACTATGTTGGTAAATAAATAAGCCTCTTTCAAAATTCCGAATTTTATTCTATATAAATGTAATCTTCAAAATTTTAATTTATACAAAAAATGATAGCGTAATTTTTGAAGTAAGAATACATGTCTTCTCATATGGTTTAAAAAATAATAATTGATGAAATATTGTTACTGTAAAAAGTATTATTAAATAACTAATATTAAAATATTAAAGTAAATAATTAAAACAAAAATAATATAAAAATTTATTAATTTTTAATATTAGTAAGAATTGTTTTATTTAAAAATTTTCAGAAATCCATCTTGAAAATTTATTATTCAATTCTCATTATAATCAGTAATTTTCAAAGAATGCAAATGTATTAAAAGTACAACAAGTAATTGAAGTTATTATAAATAATATATAATGTTAAATTAATTCTTTTTTAATATTAGTGAGGAGTACAATAAAATAATAATGTTCTCAAAGTCTCATTCAAAAAATGTTTCACACACACTTATTATTTTTTCATAGCTATATTTTACTTCAATGTTAATAGCAAATTTAATTTCAATTTAATAAAATATTACAAATATAGATATTTTCTCATAATACTTTGTTTTGGTTTATTTTGTCAATTGGGAAACCAACAATCCATATTTAAAATTTAATTTATATATTTAATTTATTGAAAAAATTATGTTAAACTTTAGTACATTGATCATTTATCAAAAAATAATTTATTGTAATCAATTAGGAATGTCATTAACATTAAATTATCTATATATTAGTTCTCCATTAGTAAATCTACCGATGCCAGGCGTTGCCCCAAAAATTGTTGTGAACAATTCAATGGGACCTATAAATGGTTCAGAAAGTCCTGCATTGTATATTCAACAAGTAGTTCTTCGTACAGCTGTTATACCGTGGGATAAAGATCTTTCATTATCTGATGCTTTTAGAGGACCACTCTTTGAAGTTTTTAATTTATTGGAAATCATTCAAAATTACGAGAATACAGAAAGGTAATTATTATCACTGTAAGGCAGAAAGTGTGAAACATACTTAATTCTATAAGTTTCATTCTTTATTATTAGTATATTTCATATTGTTATCTGTAGTTATGCAATTTTTTTTTAATTACAACATTTGAACTTATTATTAAAAATCTAAAAAATTATAATTTAATCATTTATTTAAATATAATAAAAATTATATTTGTATCAAGACAATGTTATTTATTTATAAATATCTTAATAATTATATTGATTTATATTCACTAGCTTAAAATCTTTAGCACAAGTTTGTTTACATATTGAAGCTATAAAAAAACGGAATGTTAAAAAGCTTGAAGTTTTACCAGAATATAATTGTTTAGTATTATCACCAGCGAATCTTTGGCAACAAAGTATAGAAGCATTTAATCAAGACACTAATCTCATTGGCACTGTTTTCTCTTATCAGGTAAACAAACTATGATTTAATTAATATTAATATTAATTTTAAAATACAGTAATAGTAATTAATTTCTATCATAAAGTATAAAATTATGCCCATTAGAATGATTGTTTTTAAATTAATTACTATTTAAATAATAAAATATATTGATGAAAATAGTTCTCATACACTTATGTTTTACAATATACATGCATGTATATATATGTGTGTGTCTTTTGTATTCAATCCTATAGTAATTTTTACCATTGTTATTTAAAGGTTTATTTCAATTAGTACAATCATATTGTTACATCAGCTTCAAATAGTTCTCTTGAACATGGTGTATTTTTTGACAAAAAAAATATGTATATCGATGCATCTTTTTATATAATATATGTTGACTTACACTTATTGACAATGTAAATGTCGAAAAATTATTATAATTATGCATACATATATGTATATATACATGCATATAATATAAGACGCACATACATGTATATTTATGTAAATAGGTATTAAAAAGCATTAAATATTAAATATTATATTTTTAATACATAAAAATAATAATTATATATTCAAATTATTCAATATTTTTATTTACTAATTTTAATTTGATAAAATATTATATAATAGTTATTTTCTAATAAATATATTAAAAATTTAATTTATATATTTGACCTGTAGTACCTTTACTTTGTAACTAAAAGAAGTTTATTGTAATATGGATTGAAATATTTACAACTTACAAATTTGATAAATAAATCATTTAAAATTTAAGTTGCAAAAAAAAAATAAAATTTTTGAAAAAATATACTTAAAGTTTTTGTTTATATTGCAAAGTATAGATACACTTTTTCTGCATTCTAATAACGAATGTTAAAAACTTCAATATAAACTGTTCATTCAATGTATGTATTAATAATGATAAAAATTATTATTGTATACATACACACACACACATATATATTTATATATTTTTTGACAGAATATTCAAAAAGGAAAAATAAGTACTGCTGAAATGTTGTTTGGTATGAGTCTCAAAGAAACAGGTGTAAAGCGATATCCATTAAGAATTCGACAAAGAATATTGCAATATGCAGTGACAATATTTTTAAAAGAATATGATCCTGTGTAAGTATTAGGTTATAATTTTAACTAAAATAATATTTTACTAACATAAAATTATATTGTTTTTACAGTTTTATAAAAGGATTAAGACAGCGATTACAAGCTCTTTATCCATTACATCAATCTTATGATAATAATGATTCATTTTCAATTCCTATTGATGAAACTCTTCATATATTTTACCCTGGTGAATTTAATTACAGTGACTTTTTTCCATTGACTATGACTTTTGTTGCATTATTTGTTTATGTATACTTCTCAGTTAGAAAAATCGAATTAATTAAGTCAAAAGTTGGTATGGCCTTTAGTGCTACGGTAACAGTAATTGCATCTTTATCGATGAGTGTAGGTTTATGTTTCTTTTTTGGTTTAACATTGAGTCTAAGTGGAAAAGAAGTATTTCCATATTTAGTAGTAATTGTTGGATTAGAGAATGTTCTAGTACTTACTAAAAGTGTAGTAAGTACACCTGCACATTTGGATGTAAAAATTCGTGTAGCCCAAGGGCTATCTAAAGAAGGATGGTCTATAACGAAAAATTTATTAACGGAAGTGACGATTCTTACTATTGGTTTATTCACATTTGTACCAGCTATTCAAAAATTTTGTATTTTTGCAATTGTTGGTCTTCTAAATGATTTCTTCTTACAAATGGTTCTGTTTTCAACTACACTTGCAATTGATATTCGAAGAAAAGAAATGTCGACACAAAATTCAAAATTTCATTTAAAAAATATACCTCCATTGAGAAAACAACAATTTATAACTAAAATTTCAAATAAAAAACCGAATATTTTTCGATCCAAATCTCATCCCAGATTAAATGGAATGATTCCAGCAAATGGTCCGACCAATGTTATAGCTCCAAATAATCAAAATACATTAACTTTGGTAAAGATTCCAAAACGCTTAAGGTTGGTTCATTTTTGGGCAAGAACAAGAATATTTCAACGAGCTTTCATGGTCTGGATGGTCGTGTGGATCAGTATGATAATATATAATTCTGGTATTATTGAACATGTTATTCATCTAGGAGAAACTTTAAAATCAGAAACAGATATTGAGGGATATACCATTGAAAGACCACAATCTATAGATAATTATATCAAAATGAATACTGTGAAATCTATTGTAGCAGTCCCTACTACTTCACCTCCAAGTAGCCTAAATAAACAGGTATCCATAAGAGTTCTGCTTACTTTACAAATTTTTCTCTTATATAAATAGAGACTAATAAAATTAAAACTCGCTTCTTTGATCTAATTTGATCAAGTTTTTTTATTAGATTAAGCTAAATTGGTATACATATGCTACTGTAATATATAATTCATTTAACGCATATACCTACATACATATATTTATATATATATGTATGTATGATATATATATATATATATATATATATTTTTTTATTTATTTATTTTCTTTTTTCATTTAAAAAGTGTTCTTTAAAGCTTTTCTTAAATAATTGTGAAAATAAATTCGTATTTTTAATAAGATTTATTAAATATAAATTTAACATCAGCCTAACTATAACAAACTATTGTTTATTGTTATGTTTATGAAATTAAATAGAAATATGTTATTGTATACTAGTAAAATAATTCATAATTAACATCATTTGAAACATATTTATTAATCTTTTATCATATGAATTAAAAATATGATATAATTATATAAATAATTGACTGTATGAACAATTGATAACATCTACATAATTGAATAGACCAAATGAATGCTTATATTGCATTCTTATGAAGCAAAAATTGCATAAAATTAAATTATTTAAATTTTATACATATTTAATTGAAAATACATTTTATTTAAAAAAACATAACTTTATAAATATTTATAAAATTTAGTTGAGATAAGGATGTGCAACTTATCAATATAATATAATAGATTGAACCATTCCAATTGAGAAAATAAAACAAATATATTGCTATTACTTAGAAACTTTTAAAGACTTATAAAATCAGTATGTTAATATTTTATATAAAGTGAAGATATATCTATTTTTAAAATATCAATGTTTTAGAAATGCTCATTCAAAACATTAAAATTTATCCATTCAATTTTATTTTCATAAATAATATTTGTATTTGTATTTTCACAAATAATATTGTATATTATTTTATAACAGAATAATCAATTGTCAAATAATTTGACAGAAGAGTTAAATAAGTTACGACCTGTAGATTTTCCACCCTGGAATCGACTTTCCTTATACCACTGGTCATCAATACTCTCATTATACAATGTATCTATGGCCGGGGAACGTATAACGATTCTTCCAACTATCAAACTTTCGCATGCCGTTGGACCATTATCAGTTAGACAAATCAGTAATACAAATGATGTACAACAATTTCACTGGCAAAGTTTCGCGACTGCAGCCTTGGATCCTCTGGACTTTTCTGGTTAATATAAAATATATCCATGTTTATATGTCTTATTTATAAAAAAATATTTTAAAATTATACTATTTCATATTCATATTATATTAAGATATTCAATAAATTAAATGTTAACTTTTTATTAGATTAAAATGTAATATGAATATAATAAGCATATTTATAATTGTTAAATATTAAATCATATTTAATTTTATTATTAATGATTTTTTAAATAAATTTTAGTCATACTCATAAGCAAATTAAATGAATTATATTTGAATATATTTTAACTTTTTCTTAAAAAATATTTTATCCAATTACTTCATAAAATATATCATTTTACTTTCATTCACAAAAATTAAAACTGTACATATAAAATAAACGAAATTTATAGATATGGAAGTACCAATAAGAAGTGAAAGTCGTAGCTTCAACACCGACACACCTTTCATTCCTTCAACTCCTATGGAGATATTTTTGGCTGCAGTATTGTGCCTTATTAGTGTTGTAGTGGTTGTGTATACTATGGTGGTACTTTATCGTTGCATTTGCTCGCGTAATTATGCAGAATGGCGGGCGAGTTGGTCATCATCGCAAGAAAAAAATAGTCATGATTCGGCAACACAATTGGTACTTGAGGCAGTGCCACTCGTGTTGGAAGGACACATGCAAGAGATTGAATGCATTACTACAGATGGTAATACTGTCGCAAGCTCATGTCTGATGGGTCACATCAGAGTTTGGGATTCGTTGTCCGGTGAGCAACTGGCACACATTGATAGGAAGCGATTTTTTAGCAATTCACATAACGAGGGTGTACAGTTGTTGAGAGATCAGGTACAAATAATTTTAATATTTCAAATAATTGTGAATAAAAATGTTTCATGAAATTATGTTTTCATTCAACGTAGTAATATTTTAAAAATATAATTAAACTATAATATGATAAAACAAAAGAAGTTTGAATATTGAATAGTTATTTAAAAACATTATTGCTTATATTGAAAATCAAATATACTTTTTATTAATTTCGCAAACAAGTGAATTATTATTTAAAATTTTAATATTTTAATGATGACAGTTAAATATAAAAAAAGAAAAAGAAAATTATAATTCATATACATCGAAAGGATTAGTTTATTTTCAAGGAAAAATGATTTAATAATGCAACTCGATATTAGCTTAATTTTTCTCAATTATTAAACGAAATTTTTAAAAATATTTTATTTCTTTTAAATTACTTTTTGTATAATTTTAGGATGAATTAATGTCTGATTATGAAAGCGGATCACCTCCATCTCGTGGTGAAATGGAAAGTTCAACATCACTGGGCATGTATTCAAGCATTCCCAGTATGCATAAACGTATATGTTCACCATCAGCCTCAATCTCCATGCTTAATCGTATAAATGATATCAACAGTCCACTTTCAACTAAACGTTATTCCATAGGTAGTAATAATCTTGACTATGAATACCAGATTAGTGAGGGAACAGATAGGCGTCGTTTCGTACGTAGAAGCCTTGACCAGACTTTTGATTTCCCTGATTTGCGTCCGAGTATCAATACCAAGTTCACCTCTAATAATTTCATTTCGAATTCTTTACAACAAAAGAATTATAAGTGCGGGTTCGACTTTGGCGACCAGTATAAACAAATCTTTAATGAGCATAGAAAGTCAACGATTGGTAGTGGTGAAATGTGCAGTGCGCCCAATAATGAAGGACTATCTAACAGTTTGCCAAAGCTAGGACTTATAAATGATTTAACAGACAGCGCAAATTCATTAAGTACTGATAAGACTTTACAAATTAAATATGAAGTTTCATCTATTTGGTGTATGGATTACCAAGAGAATCTGATTGTAATTGGCTGTGCAAATGGTAGTTTAGAGTTTTGGGAAGGAACAACAGGGAAATTTAAGGTACACAATTTATATATTTAATTGTTGAATTTGAAAATTTGAACTTCTTTATTTTAAGGCATGTTTAATATGTCGCTAAATAAGAGTTATATAAGATATTATATACAAATAAATACCCTTTAATGAATTTAAATAAAAATAATGTGTTGTAAATTAGAAAATTTGTAAATATATCTACTTCAGAATTATTTAAAAAATAAATATTTTAAGTAATCGTTTTAAATCATGTTAACCAAATATAAAATAAACTAATATTCATTTAATAGCTTAATTTATTATTGTTTCAGAATTTTATTTATGTTTAGCTTTAAGTAAAGAAAATTAAAATAATTGATCAATTTGAAAAGTATGCAATGATTAGAGACATCATTTACAATATGTTTCTCATGATAATACAACAAATATTTTTTTAATCAATTTCTGTAATATTCAATCAATTATGACTTGTATTCAATAATGGCAGTATATAATAAATTACTTATTAATCTTTATAACAGATTTTTTCATCCATCAATCAATAGGAGTTACGAAAATACTTTATTTGATTAAAAAAAAAAAAAAAAAAAAAATTCATTAAAATTAAGATTTAATATATTCAGATTTATAGTACTTATTTGTGTAGAATATTATTGATAGAATAGTATTATTTATTACTTTAATTTCAGTGTTTATTTGATGATGGATCTGGAGTTGGCATTTCTGCTGTTAAATTCGTTGGAAATCGGGTAGTAGTAGCAAAGTTGAATGGTTCTGTAGATTTTCTACAACTTGAAAGCTATAGTGAAGGGCAACAAATTGACTGGGGATTTACGTCCTATAGAAGGAGTAGGTATCAGAAATAGGTCTTGATTGATGAAAAAATTACTTTTAAAAACAATTATAATTATAATTATTTTTACTATTACTACTATTTACTATACTATTTTTACTACTAGCGCATGTTCGGACTGGTAGTGCCGGATCACCGATGGACTTAAATAACATTATGCAGTCGGAAGAAGATATGCGTTGTATGAAAATAGGCTCTCATAGAGCTCATCAACAAGCAATAACTGTTTTAGACAGCGAAGGTGGTCGCGTTTTAACAGGAAGCCAAGATCATACTCTTAAAGTTTACAGGTTTGTGATTCAATTTACAATAATTTCTATTTAAGTTCATTTATTTTTAAAAATATGTTTTAACATAAAAAAATTTGAAAAAATTGAATAAATGTCCTTCAAATCAATTAATTAAATGTATTTTATTATATTTTAATTTGGATTTCTACAATTACTTAATATTAAATTCAGAAAAATTATAATACTCATTAATATATTTATACTAATATATATATATATATATATACTTATTTTTATTACAGACTAGAAGATCAATTACCTTTATATACACTGCATGGTCATTGTGGTCCTATTTCTTGTCTTTTTATTGATAGAATTAGTCCAATGACTTCTGGTAGTGGATCGCAAGATGGTTTGCTATGTGTATGGGATCTTTCTACCGGTTAGTTATAATTTATTTTTCAATATTTTTGTAACTCTATTATTTCAATTGATTATTTAATTCAATTAGTTAAAAAAGTCTTATATAATTTTATTAACAAAATCAAGATGAACTAAATAAAACTAAATAAAACAATTAAATAAATTTGATTCATTAATTTAAATATATTGTTTCTTATAGGAACATGCGTGTATAGTATCCAAGCACATGATGGTGCTGTAGCAGCAATTACTTGCTCTGCCTCATACGTTGTAAGTATTGGTGCAGATGAAAAATTGTGCGTTTGGGAACGTTTTCAAGGTCACTTGTTGCATGCTCTTCCAGCGCATAGAGCAGCATACAGCTTACAACTGGCAATGCTTACGCATCATTTACTTATCACTAGTAGTCAGGTAATTAATTTAACAGTTATTGGAAAATATTATTTATAAACATTTTCTATTCAATTATTCTTATTAATATTATACAAATTTTAGCATGATTGTTTAATGAATAATGTGGTTTTGAAATTCGTAATTGCATTATAATTATATATTATAGACTTGCAATAATTAATTAATAATATTTATATAAATAAATAACTATCAAATCTGTACTTGGTTTTAATTATTTATAAAAAAATATGTATTAGCCTTATATAAATATATTTTACGAATTAAATTGTATTTGTTATTAATAACACTATTACTTTTATTGTCCACTTTATGTAATTTTATAGTTTATATGTTAGAATTTATTAAAATTTGTTTATAGGGATCGTTAATAGTTTGGGATGTTAGAACTGGTGAACCAATCCGAGAAGTAAGACTGGGTCATAAGGACAGCTGCATTTTTGTAAAGCAAATGCTACCATTGCGGGATAGTATCGTATGTGATTTTGGTAGACAACTTAGGATAGTAAGATTTCCTCTGGTTTCTGACAAAATAGATTGAAGACACAGTGATTTAGTCTGAGTGTATTAATGGATAATCAATCATAACTGTAAGATGAAAAGGATAATTTTGTGTTCGAAAAATTGATATATTTTCGTACGACAAAATTTTTAGAAGTTTTTATGACTGAATCCCAATGTATAGATTAATTAGTAAAAGATTTTTGTAAAAATAAATTGTTAACATGTTTTTGATAAATGGGATACTTTATAAAAATATTTCTTTAGATCATTTGTGAACAAATTGTATGTACGAATTGAGTTACAGAATTTTTAATTTTTTGAGATAAAAAAATGTTTTTAAATATCCTTTTAAACCCATAATATATATATAAAAATATAATTGACATTGAAACGAAGAGTGCTTTTTTCGATATGAAGTATTTTAATAACATATTTTATGTTAGCTTTTATTGGCTTGTTTGCATTTAATAGTTATTTTTAAAAAAATTTATACAAGAATTCAATATTCACAATGGATTTTCTCAAATCCAAAGCACTATATGGTATTTTTAGAGAAAAAATTATAAATAAGATACTTTATTTCTTTATCAAGTATGGGAAAGTATCTAAATACATTTATTTCCTTAAATAATTTGGATACACGATATATATATATTTTTAAATACTATAATATATAGAAATATTTTATTTTATTATATCATGTTTAATACATATTGAATGTATAATTCTTTATTTCTAACGAAATACCAATTCTACTTCATATGAATATAGACCTTACATTATTCATATTTACTAATAGTGTTTATATCCTTTATAAATGTATATAGTTTTATATTGATTTTGCTTAACATTGTGGTAAACTTCCATATCTATGTACAGTATCTCATGGAAATACCTGCAGTGTACTTATAAGATACTCTTGTGTGTTTTGCTCTTATTTTTGTATTGTGAATCATTTTGTATATAATATCAAATATGCTCCAAAGTATATTAAACCGATTTATAAATAATATTTTTAAAATTTAAACTTTTTATAAAATATTATTAAGTTATGTTTGATTTCAAAACTGTAACCTATTTTTGAGAAACAAATTTATTTTTAATTGTAAAATTTGCGTTTAATTATAAATCTTATAGTGAACTAAAAAAATATTCGTCTATCTTACAGGTAGTGCCTTTATCTCAATAATCAAAAGTCTGATTATTATTTACACAGTGTTTGTAAGTTTCTTAAATTGAATTTTAAGGATTGTGAAAGCATATTAAATTGTATTTAAAAGACTTTTATATTATGAAATTTAAACATTACACTTATTTCAATTATAATTAAAATTTTTTTTCTTATAGCTTTATTATTTGTTTATACTATGTAACAACTAGTAACTATAACCTCAGTGTTTAACGAAATTAAGGAGTGTAAAAAATAACTACAAAACAATGTTAAAAGTTAAATCTTTATAATTACGATGAATATAGATTTTTTAAATTGTCAAAATATTTAAACTTAAATTAAATACTTAAAGTGAACATTATTTAATTAAATATTTATTTATAGTATTCAGTATTAAATTTAATATTATCAATCCATGTTCCCTAACTTTTATCCTACACCCATAATATGGGACAAATAGAAATTATAAATTTTCCTTTATATTTTTATATATTAGTAATCTAATTCTTAATTATTATTAAATTAATGATGTACTACAAAATAATTGATAAACAAACTATTTTTTAATAGTATTTATTTGAAATACATCCTAGTCATTAATGTTATTATGTAGAAATTTAATTTTAATTTTCTGTATAGAATATTAAATTTATTCATTTAATTTATTTTTTAGTAGCTCAAAAATTTAATGCAGATATTTTGTTTTATTTATATATATAAATATAAATATAAAGTGCACTTTAAATATAAATAAAATTATTATATGAAATGTCTATCTTAAACAGTGAACCTTGTAAATAGTGCAAATTTCATGTCTTTTATTTTTTAGTGATATATCATTATTTGACAACAAAATTTAAACATTATTTAGTACATCATCGTATTAGTCAAAGTAAGACTCAAAGAATACTTGCATTAGATTTAAAGTTATATAAAACTGTAATATAAAATTTATTAATAAATAAATATTGTATCGTATGTATTTAATGACTTATAAATTGTTAATTTATGGGTTACTTTTAAAAATGTTTTTAATTAATTTAAAAATTTAAAACTTCAATGTTCTGGAGATGTTGGGATACGATGTAAAGGACAAACATTTCTATTAATTCTAAGATACAGCAAATTTCTAATATTTTTTATGTCATTGATTTATATTTCTTTCATTAATAATTTTTATTTCGAATAAGCAATTTTAGATATTTCGTTATTGATTTTAAATAATTATAATTATTTCATATACATACTGAATAATACTAATGGCTATGTTAAATAATTTATAATTTATACTTTCAATGTCAGTATAAATTCATTATGTAAATGAGCCTTATCAGTAAATATTAATTTTCAGTTTATTAAAGAATTATAAAATCCATGTAATTACTAATTATAAATTTATATTTAGAGATGTAACTTTTAAATTGTATAAAATGTAAAATTTTTTATATAAAATGCATCCATATTGGTAAGTATATGTTAGACAAAATAAAATCAATGATTTTAAAAATGTAAAAAAAGGAACTTGACAGAACAAGTGTAATATTCAAATTCTAATATTGCTTACATATTCAATTAAAATATGTAGAATATTTAAGAAAAATGAAAAATTCTACCGAAAAATTCTAAAGATTCAAAAGTAATAGAATTCAAAATGAAAACTATTATTAAAACTAAATTCATATTGAATATAAAATATTAAAAATACAAATTTTAGATAATAATGATATAACTAATGTATTATTATAAAATAATGTAAGTGTAAATATGTTAAATGTAAAAAAATTTTCAATTATAATAAGATAAGATAAATTATATTAATAAAGAGCAATTCAATACTATCAATATAAATAGAAGATATTAAAATATTACGTGTTTTAATATAAACAAAAAAATTAAATACAAAAATGAGCATGACTCTAGTATATGTAAAATTACAATAATTACATAATAAAAATTTTGGAAATATATTGTGTCAATTGCACATGACGTATATTCTCAGCATTTTCTAAATATTATGCCATTATTAATGTCTAAGCCTTGAAAACTAAGAGAATTACAATAAAACAAATATAAAATAGAAACTGTTAATCTCATCCGTATTACTAAAATAGTTTCGCAATATTTAATAAATACATAAATAAAAAAAAATGTGACAAGTAAATATTTATAAAGTGGAAAATGTTAGAAATGTAGCTAATGAAATATTATATAATATGAATTGTATAAATAAATTCAAAAACAGAATTATAGATATAGATAATAAAGTTTTAAAAAATAAAGAAAACATTAATAATAAATTGTGTTAGAAAAATGATAATCTTGATAAAAAGGCAAATTATTTAAGAACTCGTATTTGTGATATTTTGTATAAATTTAAATAATATAATATAAAAATCTTGTATTTTACATGGATTAGAGATATTAAATACTAGAGAAAATGTAGTAATTTAATAAAATAATGCTTTATAATGTATCTTTTATGGACATTTTGTCGAATATCTTTACGAATTAATCTTCGATTAAGAATATTTTTATTAAAAAGTTTTGAAGCGCCAGAATTTATTGAAAATTGAACTTAAACTTAGAAACACGTGAACTAATTAAATTTAGAAAGTGGTTAGGCGCGCGATAATCTCAAGCTAATATCATATGACTTAAAATCAAAATAAATCCAAACCGAAATATTATAAAACAAATACAGGAAGTATTTAAACATTTGATGTAACAATTATACTGTTAGATGTTTTGCAAGCTGGAATCTTCAGTTAAAGATAAAGCTAATCTGATATATATATTATAGAAGATTTTAATCAGTGATCAAAAAGCTTAGCGTAAATCCAACAAAATCTCCTTTCTTTTATATTATGCTCTATTATATCCTGTATTTAAACAATTAACATAAATAGATTGTACTTATGTTAATCAATCATAGCAGTTCGGTTGTCCTTATTTTTCAAAATAATTGTCTATGAAAGGGCCAAGTTAACAATTGCAAATTATTTTCGTGAAATGATGACATTTTCTCAAACAGGAGTGTGGGCAATTGAAAGTTGGAGAGGGGCAACCGGTAAAGCGTCAGCAGCATTAGCGACGATTGTGCAGCATAAACTTACAGTACATTGATCGTAGAGTGTCAGGGAGAGGTTGTCTTTTAGCTAGTCGATTTATTACCGACTCTCAGGCAATTTTCTTTTCTATTACGAAACGTATCAGATATACCTCTAAAAAATTTATTCAGTGATCGTTGAATCCACTTTTACAACAGTGAACAGTTTTTAAAACACCCATTTCGTAAAATTCTTTGCATTTATTATTATAATACAGAAAGTTGATTTTAGCAGTTAAGAAATAAAAATTATTTAATATACAAATGAAAATTTGATGGAATAGATTATTAATTTATAACAATAAATAGACATTGTCAAAAGTGATAGTTCTTAAAAAATGAATCAAGGAAATAGTATAAATTAGTTTAGTTTTAAAATTACTTCTATGAGTAGATTAATTGAATATAATTAATCGAAAATTTTATAATTATTATTACATTTTTCTATTAATTTTTATCTACTAAAGTTTTAATAAGATGTCATCATCGGTAGAAGAAAAAAGAATCAAGGTTCGATAATATATTAAATTAATAATTTTTATTAAAGTATATTCAAACTCATTTTTAATTAGAATAGTACTATGACAAAAATATATTAAAATGAAATTGATATGGATTGTAATAACAATGATATAAAAATAAAATAATATATTAGAATATCCTACGATATTACATAACATACGGAATTTCTTAAACCCAAAATTAATTATTAGAAATTGTAAACTTTCTACTATAAGCATAATATTTTCATTTATAATTTCTAAATACATTTTATATAATTATTAATCCATAAATAACTTAGTTAAATTCATTGATCTATCAGTTTATTGAATTAATATAGTATTAATATTTTAAGTCGGGTAGAATTTAATTGAAAAATATTGACTGTTTTTATATCGAATTGATATTTTTCTTTTATCAATTTATGATTAATAATTATAATGTATAAAGTGGCTAACATAAAATAATTCATAATTGCAAAATTATGTATTTGGTAAAGAAAACATACAATTTTAATATAAATGTATGAATAAATTATAAAATATTAGTAAATATTAATTTGATGAAGATTGAATAATAATTTATTAAATTGTTGAATTTTTTCTGTGTGTGATTATTTATGTTTTCTAACAATTTTACTAGTGTTAATATTTAAATTTGCATTGCAACTTTTTTTGCATTTGCAACTTTTAGATTATAATTATATGCTTTAAATTATAGATACAAATTATATTATAGAAAATAAAATTTTTAATAAAAACATTTTTATTCTTATCTAAATATTTGATACGTCAGACAGTAAATAAACTATATGTAAAATAATAGGTCTTTTATACAATTATTATGAAATTAATCACGCGATAACAACAATTATTAAGCGTCCAGATGAACTATACAAATATACTTTATTTATCTATTACCTAAAAAAAAAGTTACATGTTGTTTATGAAAACGACTTTTCATTACACGCGACTTCAAAACATTAGTTTAATCTTAGCACAATAGCAGTTAATCATTACTTATGTAGTTCATTTAAAATGTAAATTAAAATACAGATTTTATTTAAATTTCATTATATCTCAATGTAAACTAGAAATTTATTTACATAATTATTTAATTAATAAAATACATTATTAAAATTAATTATTTATAGATAATTTATTTTTTTGGTAAAACAATTGTATACGAAAATCGTTATATACAATACATTATAAAAAAAATGTATATAATTTTAGAAATTATAGATATAATACTTGTTTTATTTTTGATGGATAATATTGATTTAAACATAAACAATTACTTTAATATGATTTAAAAACATTATAATTCGAATTAAAATTTTACTTTTTAACAATGTTAAAAAATTTTTATTAAAATAGCATATATGAATATTCTTATTAAAATGTATTCTAATAAAACAACGCCTGAAATTAGGTAAAGTTT